ACCTTGTGCTCAATTCACCTAGTCAACCTTCTTTCCTCTGACAATCACTGATCTTACCTTCTCTGTAGCTTTGTCTTTTTCAGAATGTTATACAATTAGAATCATACAGTATGTAGATCTGCTTCTTCAGTCTCGCTTCTTTCACTTAGCACTATGCATTTAAGTTTCATCCATGTCTTTCTGTGACTTAATAACTAATTTCTTTCTATCACATTTTCAATTAATTAATACTTAATTGTGCCGGGTGTGGTAATCCCAGCAGCTCAGGAGGCCGAAGCAGGAGAACTGCAAATTCAAAGCCAGCCTCAGCAACCTTAGCAAGACCCTAAACAATTTAGTGAGATCCTGTTTCAAAATAAAAAATAAAAAGGGCTAGGGATGTGGCTCAGTGGTTCAGTGCTCCTGGGTCCAATCCCTGGTACCAAAATAAATAAATGAATAATACTTAATTGTACAGATATACTACTACTTGTTTATCCATTCATCTACATTCCATTATTCTAAGAGCACTTTGGTTGCTTTCATATTTTGGCAGTTATGAATAAAGTTATCATAAACGTTCACATGCTGACTTTTGTGAGGGTGTAAGTATTCAAATCAGTTGCGTAAATAGCTAGGAGGTTTACTGCTGGATCAGATGGTTAGACTGTGTTTTGCCTTGTAAGAAACTGCTGAACTATCTGCCAAAGTTTTACATTCTCGTCAGTAAAGAATAAGGGTTCTGGTTGCTCCCCATCCTCATCAGTGTTTGGTATTGTCAATATTTTACATTTAGCCATTTTAATTGGTATTTAGTGGTATCTCACTGTTTTAATTTGCAAGTCCTTAAGGACATAAGATATCAAGTATATTTTCATATGCTCTTTGCCATCTGCATCATCTTTGTTCAGGTTCTTTGCCCACTTTTAAAATTGGGTTGTTCATTTTCTTATAGGTGTGTTTGAAGAGCTCTTCATATACTTTGGTGAACAGTGCTTTATCAGATATCTGTTTTGCAAATATTTTCTCCGAGTCTATGGCTTGTCTTCTCATTCTTTTTATAAAGTCATTCACAGAAGTTCTTCCTCCCCCCCCCCAAGTACTGGGGATTGAATCTAGGGGTGCTCTATCACTGAACTCTGTCCTTGGCCTTTTAATTTAACTTAATTTATTTTATTTTTAACTAGGGATTGAGCCCAAGGGCTCTTAACCACTGAGCCACATCCCTAGACCTTTAAATTTTTTTTTTTTTAGACAGGGCCTCTTACGTTGCTTAGGGTTTCACTAAATTGTTGAGGCTGGCTTTGAGCTTGTAATCCTTCTAACTCAAACTCCCAAGCTACCGGGATTACAGGTGTGTGCCATCACACCTGGCTCCTCAGCCTTTTTCTTTTCTTTTTGGTACTGGGGAGTAAATCCAGGAGAGCTCAACCACTGAGCCATGTCTCCCGCCCTTTTTATTTATTTATATTTACAGACATTTATTTATTTATATTCTGAGTTACTTAGAACCTTGGTAAATTGCTGAGGCTGGTTTTGAATTTGCAATCCTCCTGCCTCAGCCTCCTGAGCTCCTGATTACAGGCAGGGGCCACCACAGCTGGCTCCTCTGACTATTTAAAAAAATCTTTTGAGACAGGGTCTCACTAAATTTCCCAAGCTGGCCTTGAATCCACAGTCTTCCTGCCTCAGCCTCCAGAGTTTCTGGGATTATATCCATGTGCACTGTGCCCAACACGAAGTTTTTAATTTTAATGAAGTCCAGTTTATCAGTTATTTATTTCATGTACTGTGTCTTTAGTATTGAGGCCAAGAAGCCACTGTCTCTTCTTAAAGTTTTATAGTTTTGTGTTTTACAGTTAGGTCTACTTTGAGTTAATAATTTTGATAAAGTATATTTCTAGGTTGCTTTTTTTTTCACATGCATGTGAACCTCCAATTGTTCCAGGACCATTTGTTGAAATGACTCTCCTTTCTCCATTGTCCATTGCCTTTAATCCTTCATCAAAATGTCAGTTAAGGGCTGGGGTTGTGGCTCAGTGGTAGAGCACTCACCTAGCACATGCGAGGTCCTGGATTCGATCCTCAGCACCATATAAAAATAAATAAAATAAAGGTATTATGTCCAACTACAACTAAAAAATAAATATTAAAAAAAATGTCAGTTGAGCCAGGCATGTTGGTATACACCTGTAATCTCAGCAACCCAGCAGGCTGAGGCAAGAGGATCTCAAGTTCAAGACCAGTCTCAGCAATTTAATGAGAACTTCATCAACTTAGCAAGAACTGTCTCAAAATAGAAAATAAAAAAGACTGGGATGTAGCTCAGTAGTAAAGCCCCTCAGGGTTCAATCCTCATACTAAAAAAAGTCAGTTGACTGTTTGCATGAAACTATTTCTGGGTTCTCCATTCTGTTACATTGATCAATCTGTCTACTCTTTCACCAGTACAACACCATCTTGATTACTTGAACTCACAGACTTCCTGCCTCAGCCTCCAGAGTTGCTGGGATTATATCCATGTGCACTGTGCCCATGGATATAATCTTGATTACTGTAAAATCTTAAAATAGCTAGTGTAGGCCCCCCACCTTTTTCTTATTCAATGTTTCATTGATTACTCCAGGTCTTTTGCCTTTCCACATAACTTTGAGAAAAAATTTTTGTTAATATCCACAAAATAGAGGAATGGAAGACTCCTCAGAAAAGCAACATGAAGCAGGTGAAGGTGACTTGGCCACTGATTACTGTGACCATAGGATAGTTAATTGTCCTCTCTGGTGTGTCTTCATTGCAAATGGCCTCTAAAATAAGATGTTTAATAAATGTACATTACTTAAGCAGTATATGACATACAATAATACAATTGTGTACCTGTCATATCCATTCTTCTCATGCCATCTTCATGCCTACAATTGTATTTTTCCCTTTAGGATTATTTCTTAGGCTATGTCCTGACACAATCAGGTCTTAACCCGCAGGAAAAAAAAATAAGTCCTATGTGCTGACCCATCACTGTGAGGGAGACCATCCATCAGAGGAATTATGGACCCCCAAAAAGCAAAAGCTATTAAAGGACTTGAGGGGAGGTGAAGTTGGGTGAAATGTCAACCAGCCAGTTTTCCATAGGCTCAAAGCAACCAGGGCTGTGTGTGAAGGGTCAACTTTAGGCCTGGACAGCAAACTGACTCCAGAGTCCCATTTTCCTGGAAATTACAAAGTTAAGATAGGTGTGGAATGTGGAGTCCATAAATTCCTTCTCTGAGGCTTCTTCTCTGTGTTGAAGTGAATTAGCTCCCAACAGGCAAGAGTGGGAAGTTTCATTCTTACTAAAATACTTTCAAAGAGCAAATTTCTGATACTTTGTGGATTTAGAAGAAAAAATATGGTTATTAGGACACTTTATAGTTGAAGCATGCATGATCTTGGTAAAAATAATGTTTCCTGTTAATTTTGCAGCAGGCTTTATTCATGCCTGTAATGCCAGCCTAATGCAGGCAGGCTGACTTTTTCTTTCTCATACCAATATAATTTTTTCCTCTCTATCTCCCTCTACCTCTCTCTCTCTCTCTGTCTCTCTCCCACCCCCTTCTATCTTTTTTTCTTTGAGACAGTGTCTTGCTTTTTGCCTAGGCTAGACCGAAACTCATGTTTCAGCCTCCCAAAGACCTGGGATTATAGGTGTGAGCCACCATGCATGGCTCCAAGCTAATTTTTATTTTCTGACTATAGTACCTCAAATAGAAATAATGAACCAAACAGTTTAATCATTTTTCTTTTTCATTTTCCTGAACATGTGACCTAAAACAGCCCAGTTCCACTCCCATTTCATGGCTCTATTTCTTTTTTTGTTTGTTTGTTTGAAGGTACTGGGGATTGAACCCAGGGCCTTGCACATGCTAGGCAAGCATTCTATAGGTTCTCACTAAGTTGCCCATGCTGGCCTTAAACTTGTGATCCTCCTGCATTAGCCTCCTGAATATCTGGGATTATAGGTGTGTACCACTGTGCTGGCTGGACAATCCATGTTTAAACTTTTTTTTTTTTTTTAGTTGTAGGTGGACACAATACAAAATAAATAAATTTTATCTCTTTTTATGTGGTGCTGAGGATTGAACCCCAGTGCCTCACACATGCTAGGCAAATGCTCTACCACTGAGCTACAACTCCAGCCTCTGGGAAATCTCTTTTTTGAAATTTACAAGGTGAGGTAATATCAGTATAAGTGTCTGTAATTCTACCTAATATGGAGACTGGGGCAGGAGGATCTCTTAAGTCAAGGGCTGTAGCTTACTATTATGACTGGGTGTCTTTACCAAGTATCAGTGGGATTGCACTTATGAATAGCTAAATGCACTCTAGCCTGGGCAGCGTAGTAAGACCCTGTCCCATTGTGCATGCATGCACACAAGCGTGTGCACGCCCCCCCCCACATACACCAATTTACAATACTTTTAAAAAGAGATCCACATCTCCATATTTATCAATATTGAAAGCTTGACTTGTGATAAAAAGGCACAAAGTAGATTATCTTGCAAGAACCTTGGCAATTTGCCATTAAATAATTGCAATAAAAATTTCATTTGGAGATGATTAGAGGTGTTTTATGATTATAAGATCCTCACATGTTGAGCTAAAAGGGAGCTGTTAGAATGATCTTATCCAACCCTCTCCTCTCATGTATGGGGAATTATTTCAAACTCAGAGAAGTTACATATACCTGGGTATGTCACACAGCCACTACTAGTTGACTTATATGCACTGAGTCTCCAGTGGGGCTGAGCACATAAGGAATCCTTTGTCCCTTCTCTCTGCAGATTTTTAAAAGTTATTTTCTAGTCCTGGCAAGCAGCCCTGCTTCCCTGGCAAGCAGCCCTGCTTCCCATTTTGTAACTCAAATGATTCCGTTTCATTTTTTAACTTGTTTTGTTTTTTCTTCTCCAGGAAACCCCAGGTCTGTTGGGTTTGTTGAAAAAACTGGTCAGTCTGATCTGCTTCCAGGGACTGCACCCGCCCTTTGGGCAGGCTGGCTGGCAGAGAGCAGCTGACTCCGGAGTTCTTGCTCATGTGACCACCACAGCTCCCTGTTGTGTTCCTTGTCCCCAGCCAGGGTGGGTACTCTGAGAGGTTCCTTCTGTGAGGAGCACCAGGTAGGCACCCCAGTCCTGAAAACTCACTGCTGGAACAGCTGGGGGGATAGCAGACAGGCACAGTAGGATGAACTTGGACGGACTTCAGACACTGTGTTGGTGCCTGGCTCTTTAAGCAGCAGGGATAGAACATGACTGGCTTCAAGTTTTGTCCCACAGGGTCTCTACTGGGCCCTTCCTTCCTTTTGTCCCCTAATTCTAACAAAGCTGCTCTGCCCTTCCTTCCTCTGTTCTTTGGCCCTTCCCCCGCCCCTCTCAATAACAGACCTTTTTTTCTTTCTCTTTGCTGATTTAGCAAGCAGCACAGTGGGCGTGGAGAGATTAATCAGTGACAAGAAACTGCCTCTCTCAGAGCAGTGACTGGGCTGTCCTCAGAGAAGCCTCCAAGAGTCAGCCAGCCCCAGGAGTCTGCCCCACTTACCGCCTGCTGCTCACCCACCTGCTCCTGCCATGGGACACCTTGGGGCCTTCTTCATCCTGTTGGGGGCCCTAGGGGCTCTTGCTGAGATCTGTGGTGAGTAACCAGCTTCTATCTTGTGCCTTTTTCCTCTTGGGACTCAGAGAGGGAGGACTACCTTGCCCATCCCCCTCATATTTTTGGGGGGAAACTGAGATTGAAGCGGGATAGGGGAACTTACCTGTCCCTCTGGATTCCCACAACAGTTTGGGCTTAGCTGGATCTCCACTTTGGCACACTGTGTTGAAATTAATTATATGTCTAACTCCCCACCAGACAAGAGCTCCATTAATTCAGGTATTTATTAATTTATTCATCCCACACTCATTTATTGAGTTTTTTCTGTGCCAGGCCTGCCTGATGTTAGGCTTTGGAGAAAGAACAAAGAGCAGAACAGGTCCAATCCATGCCCTCCTAGAGCTTATGTTCTAGGGAAAGGGATGGATAAAAGCAATCAAATGCCAAACTGGGCTGTGGTGAGTGCCAAAAAAGAAGCCAACCAAGCTGGGTGTGGTGGTGCCTGCCTGTAATCCCAGCAGCTCAGGAGGCTGAGGCAAGAAGATCGAAAATTCAAGGCCAGCCTCAGCAATTTAGCGAGGCCCTAAGCAACTTAGTGAGACCCTGGCTCAAAATAAAAAATAAAAAGGGCTGGGGATGTAGCTCAGTGGTAAAGTGCTCCTGGGTTCAATCCCCAGTATGGCTCCCTACCAAAAAAAAGGTGGAGAAGCCAACCAGGGGTGGAGGTCGAGAGCCAGGGTTGGGAGTCTGGGGAAGGATCTCCAAAGACTGGGAGCTAAAACCCAAAGGAGGAAAAGGAGTCCATGAGGAAGGAAGTGGGGACAAACATGCCTGGCAAAGGGAGGTGCACACTCAGAGGCCCTGCCTGCTCTGGCTCTGCCATATCTTGAAGGACCTTAAGGGAACTCTGAGGACCTTTCAGGACCTGTCTGTGAGTCTCAGTGCATAGACTTAGGGCCACTCATACACTGGGGCCAGGTGGGAAGCAGAAGGAAGATTTCAGAATGCTGGCTATTCACATATTTTTCCTCCTTGTAATCTACACACCAGGTCTCTGAGGAAACCATGATAGGCAGGTACAGACATGTCCAGTATCAGGTGAAGAATCCAGAAAGACCAAGTGATCTGCTCAAGGTGTTCCAGTGGAACTTCGCCAGATTAAGATCAGGCCAGGGTCTTTGCTGGGCACTAGAAGCTTCTGACCTGTGTTCCGCAAGGGCAATTAGAGCTCTCATCCCTGAGTCCTTGGTTCCTGTCCAGGCAGACCCCAGGGAGACCTGGGTTGGGCTAGCCAGAACTTTCCCTCCTGTCCATCTGGCCAGCCTTGTACTTAGCCACACAAATAGCCCATGAGCCTGACTCTACAAGAGCTCCCTTCTCTTGGGATCTAGAGAACCTTATACTGGGATTTGGGATACATCCTGCTGCTGCCAAGTAAGTCATTCCTAGCCTCATTCCTGCACCCAGAAAATGCTCTCCTGCCTTCCTCCTTGAAGTGGTGTGAGAATCCCACAGCACCCGCTTTATTAGCTTAAAGGTCTATATGCTTGTGAAATTGACAGGTTTGCTGTACTAATGCCAAAGCAAAGTGAGCTCCTGTGATTCTAAGTGCCAGCCCCAATCAGTGCTTAGCTACCAGAATAGTATGTGCAGGGTACCCCTGTGAGCAAAAGCCCTGGAGGGTAGAGTGCTTGCCCAAGCCCACTTTTATTAGCCTGCATGAATCTGCCCAGTTCCTTCCTTCTAAGGAAGTTAAACTGGTTGTCAGCCTCTCTTTACAACCTGCTCCTCATCTTATCATTTCTATCCTCCGATGACTCATCATGCTGGAGGTCAAATACCAGGATGGAGCCAGAGGGCTCCCTCACCTGTTTTAGGAAGTAGGAGAAGAAAAGTGTGGAGAAATAGATTATCAGAGAGATTGAGACAGACAGAATTAGAGAGCCTCAGAAAGAGACAGAGACAGAGATAGAAGGCTACAGAAGTAGAGACAAGCACCCAGACAGAAAACTTCCCCCCACCTTCCGTGTGTGTGTGTGTGTGTGTGTGTGTGTGTCTGTTTGTCTGTGTGTGTGTATCAGGGGTTTAACTCAGGGGCACTTAACCACATCCCCAGCCCTTTTTTTAAATTTTTATTTTGAGACAGAGTCTTGCTAAGTTGCTTAGGGCTTCACTAAGTTGCTGAGGCCTGCTTTGAATTTGGGATCCTCCTGCCTCAGCCTCCTGAGCCACTGGGATTACAGATGTGCCCCCCCCTTGCCTGGCTGAAAACCCTCTCTCTTACTGAACATTTTGGTGAGAAACCAGATGTGTGCTCTGACCTGGCCCCACACAGCAAAGAATTACTCAAGTTTTAAGCTAGTGAATGGTCATTTTATGGCAGCAGGAATCTGTGACTTTTGGAAAACCAGGCATAAATTCATGGGACCTGAACTCAGAGAGAGCTGTGTTGAAGGCCAGGAGGCAGGTAGAGCACTCTGTGGCCGTTCTTTTCCTTAGTCCCCTAGGAGAAGCGGCCTGCCCATCATCCTAAGATGTGGCACACTGGAGGCCACTATTGGGCAGCTGGAACCAGCAGCATCTGGGAGGCATAAATGGAAAGGAAAGTCCAAAAAGCCACTAAGGCAAGCTACTCTGTTCTGAGCTTGGGTCCCTTCCCTAAGGGAGGAAGGCAGCCATCAACTAGAGCTGAAAATTTCCCTGAGGCTTTAGCTTCTAGGTATTTTTTTTATCTTAGTTATGTAGCTTCAAATAAATTCTCTGGCTCTCAGATAAATAGCTACAAAATATGACAGTTTGCTAGTCACTTGCCTCAAACTCTCAGGCCATTTTCACTCAAACACAGGTGGCAAGAAAAGAGTTACTTTGAGATGTGCAGGGAAGAAGTTCATCAGGCAGCCCCAGTGAACCAGCTGGCAGTTCATGGCATTTGAAAATTGGATGCGTAACACATATTGCATGAGTTGACATTTTTGTCAATGGGTAGAACATGTACTTAGCGGGGTACCAAAGAGCAGGGGATTTGTAGTCACACCCATCCTTGGTTTTGCAACCTCATATAAGATACATGAGTTTTAACTTCTGTTTCTTCTCTTGTACAAAGCAGATCTAGAGTGAGAGCCAAGAAAGATAGGGTACGATGCCTAGGCATACCCCAAAGCTTGATATCTAGTCTTGCTGTTGTTCCTGATGGGTAGGTGGTTGCCTGGCAATAGCATTCTTTGCCCTCAGCCTACCACCTCTCCCTCACCCACTCCAATTGCTCTCTGGGAACATCTGCTTTCCCTCTTTACCTATTGCCTCCATTTGGTAATATTTCCCCATTCAAGTTGGATGTGTATTTGGTGAAAATGGAAGTGAGGATATTTATTCCCTGGGGATGGCAGTTTCTTGCTAGTGGTATGACTCTGTGACCTCACTTATACCATTTTCTTTCCTAAGTAATACCAGAGATGGACAACCAGCTGGTAGAGAAGCTGGGCCAACACCTCTTGCCTTGGATGGACCAGCTCTCCTTGGAACACCTGAACCCCAGCCTCTATGTGGGCCTGCGCCTTTCCAGCATGCAGGCTGGGACCAAGGAGGACCTCTACCTTCACAGCCTCAAGCTTGATTATCAGCAGTGCCTCCTGGGGTACTGTTACACTCTGTCTTCTTTCTCTGTGTCTTGCTTCACATCCCAAAAGTCAGGAGACCTGGGTTCTAGTTTGGTCCTTTTATTGCATTGTTGGCAGACTTTAGGCAAGTTTTGTCTTTTCTAGGTCTTTCTCCTTCTGTATAATGGTTGGACTAGATCAGAGATGCTAACATGAGCCCCTTGTGCTGCTACTGCACCCTCTTATACCTGAGGCAGACCTCACTAATCCATGACCATGCTGCCATAGGGAGCCCAGAAACAACATCTGAATCTGTGCTCATCTTCTGTGCATGAAGCAGACATCACTAATCCATGGCTTTGTTCTGAGCCATGAAGCAGCATCTTTCTATTCTTCCTTTCCAAGGAGCATTAAGGAAAGGCCTGTTCTGGGGTTTGAATAACACTGAAGAATCAGGAGCATTCATTAAACACCTTCCCACTTGGGATCCTGGAGAAATGGATACAGGGTGGGGAGAGGAAAGGAAGGGGAGAACATATGGGTGAAACATGGCCAAAGTGTGGGGCAAGCACAGGTGATTTGGATGCAGGAGCCTCAGAATTTATTTTTGTAGTTAACTAAAGATATTTTAATGATTAAATTAAGCATTCACCCAATCATTCACCTTTTTAAATATCTTTAGTTAACTACACCAATTTTTGGCACTTCTATCAATGTTTCCAACTGTTAGGATTTTTCTATTCTGTGATGTTGGTGAGTGGTGGGGGTTCCCCCAAAGGCTTAGCATGGTGGCACTTTCTCATAAGGATGTTATTAACTGGCTTTGTCCTAGGTCTACCTCCAGAAATTACAACAATGGTTGCCAAACCAAGCCTTCCATGGGCCAGCTGGCCCTCTACCTGCTCACTCTCAGAGCTAACTGCGAATTTGTCGGGAGCCGCAAAGGAGATAGACTGGTCTCCCAGCTCAAGTGGTTCCTGGAAGATGAGAAGAGAGCCATTGGTGAGAGGACACCATCTTCTGTGGGTGGGAAACAGTTGGGAGTGCTCACGATATTTTTGGTGAGAATCAGAATTTGGGGTTTTCTACACATCTTATTTCCCATTTTGCCTCTCTTATTGTTCACCCGGAGACTTGAGCCTTTCCCGGTAGCTAGGCATTATCCAGCCTTTCCTGAATTCCAACATGCATGTTATTGGCAAGTCTTGATGCTCAGCCATAAAGACTGACCTGACTGCCCACCTTCTTTCAACTCACAGGCCAAGGTCTGCATACATGTGCCCTCCCTCCCTTTCTAGATCATTCCAACTCTACCTTTAACCCCACCTCCACCCCCCACCTTTGGCATTACTTCCTTGAGGAATTCTGTCTTAACTTCCCAGCTATTGAAAGACTTCTGTTATAAGGCTCCATAGACCTCAGGCCATGTTTCAGTTATAATCAGGCTCTCATGAGTATGAGTTGTGCTATGATCAGAGACCCCATCTGCACAGTGCCAGGCTGTTGTCTCTTTACTCCTATCTTCAAGCATAATGCTTAACACATAGTAGGACCTCATGAAGTAGGGATTGAGGCAATAAAGGAATGAAGGATCCCATGAATTCAAAGGAGTATGTTGGAAAGTACAGGCAATGGTGCCCCATGTGCTGATGGGCTGCTTGTTGGGAGAGGGCAGAGAGGCAAGCCCTCAGGCCTGGCATGACTCCCTCACCCCTTGTTTTTCTCCCTCCCAGGACACGATCACAAGGGCCACCCCCACACCAGCTACTACCAGTATGGCCTCAGCATCCTGGCTCTGTGTGTCCACCAGAAGCGAGTACATGACAGTGTGGTGGGCAAGCTCCTGTATGCTGTGGAACACGACCACCACCTCCACCAGGGTCACTTGTCTGTGGGTGAGTGGGCCAAACCCTGTTGACCCTAGGCTGGCTTTCCCTGGCCCCCATTCCCAGCTGAAGACCTCCATGTCCTGGCCCCACATTTACCTGTGAGAGCCCTCCTTATCATATCCCTTAGGAGTGAGATGGAGGGAGACTTGTGTGTGGAGCAGTGGCTTTACCTTGAAGCTAGACTAGGATCCAAACCCCAGCTTCATGGCACACTCACTGTAGGACCTCCTGGGGAAGCCAGGTGGCCTTTCCTATAAAATGACCCTCCAGGAGCTGGGGATATAGCTTAGTAGAAAAGAGTATGCTTAGCATTCACAAGTATCACAAGTTTTGATCCCCAGTACCATATTAAAAACAAAGTAAATGACCTCCTAGGAATATAGGATTCCTTACAAGCAAAGATTTAGCATATGCCTGGCATAGAGAAAAATCTGGGTGCATATCATCTCGGTATCAGAGGACCTGTGAAGCTTGAGCCCTAGGTTCCAGAACGGCTTCCTCACTATGTGAACTTGGGCTTTCATTTCTATTTCTTATCATTGTGAATCAAGGTCTCTTTCTAGGCCTGGCATTCCATGAGTGAATATGTGTCTCACACAGAGCGGGGGTTGGATGGTGAAGGTCTGTGTGTGTTGGGGGGTGGGTAAATACCTAGAGAGAAGAAGTAGGGAGCTTGTTCTGCCCTACAGACTTACAGAAAATCAGAGGGCACATTAGAATCAGCTGCAGCAGGTATACAGGCTTAAAAAAAAACCTCAGGATCTATGCAACTCTCCATATCAATAAAATTGAATTACCTGGGTATGGACCTAAGGCAGCAATTGGCTTAAAACTCCCCAGAGGTGGGGGTTGTGACTCAGTGGTAGAGTACTTGTTTTGCAAATGAGAGACACTGGTGTTTGATCCTCAGCACCACATGAAAATAAATAAATAAAACAAAGGTATTGTGTCCATCTACAACTAAAAAAAAAAAAAATATTAAAAAATAAAAAAAAAAAAAGCTCCCCAGAGGATTTCAAAATTCAGCCAAGTTTGGGAGTGAGTAGTATAGGATCCAGTCTTTCCTTTTCTTTTTTTAAATATGTTTTAGTTGGATCTTTTATTTTACTTATTTACTTATATGTGGTGCTGCGGATCAAACCCAGGGCCTTATACATGCCAGGCAAGTGCTCTACCACTGAGCCAGAACTCTAGCCCCTAGGATCCATTCTTTTTGGGCCTGCCTCCTGTGGTCTCTTCCCTTGACCTTTAGCCCTGAAAGAGTAGAATGACCATCCAAACCAGTTTTCCCAGGATTAAGAGGTTTCCCGAGACATAAGATATTCAGTGCCTAGATGGGGAGACTCCTGAGCAAATGATTTTGGTTGGTGGCCCTAGCTGCTCTGATCATGTTGTCTGATTACTTCAACTCCTGCTGAGGCTGCCCACTGCCACAGGGTCTGAACCTCAAGGCACTGCATGGTCCCTCATGACTGTCCAGCTCATCATAATTCCTATCTCTTCAGACACAGTGGCCATGGCAGGCTTGGCCCTCACCTGTCTGGAACGCTTCAACTTCAACCCTGATCTGAGACAACGGATCACCTTGGCCATCCAAACATCAAAGGAGAAGATCCTGAAGGCCCAGACCCCTGAGGGCTACTTTGGGAATGTCTACAGCACCCCACTGGCTCTGCAGGTGGGAAAGAGGCACTGGAGCCATGGCCTGGGGGTCCCTAAAAGGTCAGGCTGGTTGGAGATTGGAAGACCTGGCTAATCACTGCTGGCTGACCCACCCCTTTCCTCTCTTCCCCATCCCATCACAGTTGCTGATGACCTCCCCTATGCCCAGGATGGGGCTAGGCATAGCATGCCTCAAAGCAAGGACAGCCCTGTTGGCCTTCCTGAAGGATGGGGCCTTCCAGAATGCTCTCATGATTTCCCAGCTGCTGCCCGTCCTGAACCACAAGACCTATATGGATCTCATTTTCCCAGACTGCCAGGCACCTAGAGGTAGTCAAACCTTTTGTGGAAACACAACTTTTTACAATCTGCTGAGATTATTTACATCTGTGTGACCCAGTTAAGGGCGGTTTCTTGGTCCCAATTTGCTGAGGCAATACAAGTTTGTTGGTATGCCTAGGTCACAGAAGTTAAAATGCGATTACAGTCTCTAGATGCTCACAGTGTGGGGTCAAAGATGCCAAATACTGAGTGGACTCCAGTGAAGAAATGTTTGAATGAATAAATGAGGAGAGGTGTATTTCAGATAACTCTGAAACATGAGAGTTATCTGAAATAACTGACATTAATTAACAGCATTGAATTAACAGCATTGAATCAGGGCATCATCTGGGAAAGAGACTTGAAGAAGTGATGAGATTTGTCAGTGGAGAAGGGAGAAAGGAAAAGGGAGGGCAGAGCAGAAAGAAGACAGCAAGAATAAAAGCACATAAAAGAAAATAATTTGGGGGAACTTGGGGAAAGCTCTTGTAAAAGAATGGAAATGAGCAAGAGTGGCAGGCAGATTGAATGAAAAGCAGGTTAAGGACCTTGGGTGTAGCTTGGTTGTAGAGGATTTGCCTAGTACTTGTGAGTTCAAGTTCAATCCCTAGGCATGGAGAGGGGAGGTGGAGGTAGCAGATAACATTTAAAAAATGTATACAAATGTATGTTCTAGAAAGAGTCCTCTGGGAGCCTGGGATGGTGGAGCGTGACTCTCATTCCAGTGACTTAGAGGCTGAGGCAGGAGAATTACAAGTTGGAGGCCAGCATTTGTAATTTATCAAGGCCTTAAGCAACTTAGCAAAACCCTATCTCAAAATAAAAATAAAAAGAACTGGGGCCAGGTACTGTGGTGCATGCCTGTAATCCTAACAGCTTGCAAGGCTGAGGCAGGAGGATTGCAAGTTCTAAACCAGCCTCAGCAACTTAGCAAGGCTCTAAGCAACTTAGAAAGACCCTGCCTCTAAATAAAATATAAAAAGGGGTTCAGGGATGTGGCTCTGTGGTTAAGCACCCCTGGATTCAACCCCTGCTACCAAAAAGAAAAGAAAGAGCCCTGTGGGGTACAATTCTTGAAGCAGAGAAACTAGTGAGGGGCCTGATCTTGAGTGGTGCAGGGATGTGGAGGCTGAAGGACAAGGGAGCTGGGATGGCAGACAGGTTTCAGTTTAGCAGATAGTCGTGGCATTAAGCTAAGAACATGCAGAAGAATGCAGTCCAGATGGTCCAAAGTGTTCTTGCAGGAAAGGATGCAGTCTAGATAGGCCAAAGTGTTCTTGCAGGAAGATAGGACTCATATCCAGGCTCTCTATCCTCACACCAGCTTCCCCTTTTTTCCTTCCTGGCACAGTTATGTTGGCTTCAACTCTTGAGAATCCTTCACCTACCCATGTCTCAGAGATGATCAGTGTCACACTGAAGGTCTCCAGTGTCTTGCCACCATATCAACAGGCCATCTCTGTTCTTGCTGGGTCTTCCTTGAAAGATGTCCTGGAGAAGGCCCACGAGCTAGGAGGATTCACGTGAGACACCCCCATTTTCTAATTCTCACTCCATTCATCCCCTCTTCCAGGGTCATGGAATGGACAGGGGACAGAGGAAAGGATTCCCTTGGGAGAAGTACTGGCCCAACTTCTGTGTCCACCTTCTGCATTCCTTTCTGGCTCATGTTGTCATGGAAACAAGGGGCCATGGGAGAGCATTGTCATTAAGAGAGCAAGTTCTGGAATCAGAGCCCTCAGCACTGGGATCCCAGCTCCCCTTTCTCCAGCTAGGGATCCAATACAGCTATTTACCATAATTCAGGGAGGATGTCAGATGTTCTCTCCTCATAGGACCATTTTGAGGAGAGCAATGTGAGTGGCTCATAGAGTTTGTGCCACTCAGCTGGAAACAGTGGCATATATTTTTAATCCCAACTACTCCAGAGGCTGAGGCATAAAGATTTCATCAAGTTGCTAAGCCTGGGCAACTTAGTGAGATCCTGTCTCAAAATGAAAAAGAAAAGGGCTGGGGATGTAGCCCCGGGGTAGAGTACCCCTGACTTCAATCCCCAGTAGTGCACACACATAAAGAGATAGTGTCATTTGCTTTTATAGGTGTAGGGTCCAAAATGTAGGAAGTGCTTAATACAGGTTAGCTTTCAAGAAATAAGACTTTGTAGTATTAAATAATCTTGGTGCAATCCTGTTATTAATTACCCTGAGGAGGTTGGACAATGCTACCCTGAGGAGATGGGACAATGTCCTTCAACTTGCTTCTTACTTTGAGATGTGACAAGTCTAAGAATAAGCAGGTTTGATGATCTGTCAGGCCCTGTCTGGTTCTAAATAAGATAAATGTGATTCATCTTATGAGAATGACTCTCTCTTTTGAGAAGTTAGGGGTCCCATCAGGTCAACCCTTCCCCTGAATTCTCCCTTAGAAAAATGAGCCTCTTTGAAGAGGTCCCCAATTCTTGTTTCCAACTGAACTTTCCAGAGAACAACTTTTGAAGCCAGGGAGGACCAAGAGCTGTCACCTTGGGGTCATCTGGGCCAGGGACTCTCAGATCAGAGATATGCAAAGACCCCCTTAAAGGATAAAAATCTCCCACATCCATGGTTGTTACTTCTATAAGAGACTTGGATGTGACTATCAAGTCCTTTCTTTCTTCCTTTAGACATGTATGAATCCTAAACAACATTGTAAATTAAATAGGAAAAAAAGTGTAATGGGGCTGGGGATGTGGCTCAGTGGTAGAGTGCTTGCTTGGGTTCAATTCCCAACACCACAAAATAATAATAAATTCAAATAAGGATTGTCTGTGAAAGTACAGGTCTACACTGGCAGGTCCAGTGATCTCAATACTCCCTTATATTTGAGCCACTACTGAAGCTGAGTCTGTACAGGCTGCTGTAGCTTCCTAGGCTTTTTTTCTAGTCCCAACATTTCCTTCATTATTAAACCCACTTCCTGGTCAATCTCTTGCAGCACACAGAGAAATGCTTCTGGGTACCAACACAGTCACAGGCCACACACATGTTGAGTGACCTTGCCAAGTCTTAATTTAGCAGATGTGGAGATTATTCAGAGCCTGCTACTTTCGTGTTTGAATATTGTTGAGACAATGAAAAATAAAAAGAATTTCACATTTTAAAATTCAGAGCTTCGAGGACCTCTGAAAAGCCAACATGAACACAAATCTGAGAAACTGTTCTTTTGTTAGTGTGAATGGGCTGAGTTCAGGGGCTAGGCAGAAAGGCCATTTTATATAAGGGACTTGAACACTCTTGGATTTTAGTATCTATGGGAGATCCTAGAACCAATCCCCTGAAGATATGGAGGGATGGTTGTATTTCTTTTGCCTCTTACTCTGAGTGAGCTTCTGTTTCTTAAAACTGAAATAATCTGCAGGGTGTGGTGGTATACACATGTAATCTCAGCAACTCAGGAGGCTGAGGCAGGAGAATTGCAAGTTCCAGCAAATTAGAGAGACTCTGTCTCAAAATACATAAATTAATTTAAAAAGGGACTGGAGATGTAGTTTAGTGTTAGAGTGCTTGCCTAGCAAGAGTAAGGTCCTGGGTTTAATCCCCAGTACCACCAAAAAATTTTTTTTTATAATCCTCCCATGTCTAAGATGGAAACCATCCTCACTTTTGGAGTAAAGAAGGATGTGCCCCATGAAATATTAAGAGGAACCTCTGGAAATGGTATTCAGTTGGGTCAGGGAAATGAAAAGTGGAAGGCAAGGAGCTCAAAGAAAGTGAAAAAAGTGTGAATAAGGTATTTCTTAGTTTCCAGGGCCTAATTAACTAACTACTCCAGCATCCACAAGTGTGGATTATGTGAAACCAGAGAGCAGACTAAGCAACCCAGCTCCAAGAAGAGGAGATTGCTACTGAGCCATGGAAACTTGCAGAACGAGAGACCCAGTGCCACTACCAGTTGTCTCTGCCTCTGCTCCCCATGTCCCTCTCCTCGTGTCCCAGTGTCTCTGCACTCTGGCCTCACATTCTCTCATTGCATCTTGGCCTATTCAGTGTGATGCTTCTGCTTCTGCTTCTCCACCTCCCTGGACGCACACAACATCAGCCCCCAGAGCGGGGAATGACAACTGAGTTAATAACTTAATCAGTGTCCCTTCATGGAGGCCATGGTCTTGGTGAATGCAGAAAGGGTGAAACCTCCAGGCAGTATTATTGGGTCTGGAGAGGAGGGGTTAGAGGTAAGACCCATGGACTGTGGCAGGGTAGTCCAGGAAGGCTTTGGCTAGTGCTGGCCCTAAAGGCAAGGACAAAACTTCTTTGCCAGTGTGGATGAGCGCCACTTTTCCCCTTGAGACAACAGTCTCCTCTTTCTTCATCTTTCCCTTTTCTAGGTATGGAACACAGGCCTCCTTGTCAGGCCCCTACCTGACAACTGTAATGGGGAAAGCAGTTGGGGACCGAGAGTTTTGGCAGCTCCTCCGAGCCCCTGACACCCCCCTACAGCAAGGTGAGTGTGATTACCTGTAACCCCTATATGTGTCCCCTACCTCACCCCAACCAGCAATAAGGCTTCATCAACTCATCCCAGCTTTCCCTTGAAACTTCTTGGGCTATACCTTGTAAAATCACCAATGTTCAAGATTGGACCTAATTTGTTTAACTGATTTCTTAGAATTTTTATGCAAGTTATCATAGAAATTCTTGGAGACCAAGTAAGTTTTAAAAAAGAAAAAAAAGGAAAATTTAAATCACATGTAATTCACTGTCTAGAAATGCCTCCTTTTAATATTTGGTGTATTTTTTCCTAGATACTTCTAGAAATATGTAATTTTATTTAAAAAAAATTGGAGCCACAACCAAGTGTGTCAGCACATGCCTGTAATCCTAGATACTCCAGAGGGTGAGGCAGGTTGGCAATTTAGCCAGACCCTGTCTAAAAATGAAAAAATAAGAAGAACTGGGGATATAGCTCAGCAATAGTGTTTGCCTAGCAAGTATAAGGCCCTGAGCTCAATCCCCAGTACAACCAAAAAGCAGGAGGTGGGCAGGGGAAAGCTATACTTTCTAACAATGGGATCCAATAGAAATAAAACATCAGTTACATGCGTAATTTAAAATTCTCTAGTTGTCCAAACTAATATTAAGGCCAGGTGTGGTGACACACACCTGTAATCCCAGCAGTTTAGGAGGCTGAAGCAGGAGTATTGCAAGTTCAAAGTCAGCAATTTAGCAAGGCCCAAACAACTCAGTGAGACCCTATTTCTAAATAAAATATTAAAAAGGGGCTGGGGATGTGGTTCAGGGGTTAAGCACCCCTGGGTTCATTCCCAAGTACCAAAAAAAAAGAAAAACCCTAATATTAATAACATTTCTTATTTAACCCAATATATCAAAAATATCATTCTAAGAGGTAATCAATGTAAAATTAGTTTGGTACCAGTTGAAAGGACACTCACAGAGTCCACGCAAAGTCCAAAGACCACACCACACACCAGAATCCCGCGCAAGAGATTTATTGTTAGTAACATGGCTGTCCTCTGAGGAGAGCAGCAGCCTGTCGGCACTCACAGAGCAGTTTTATGGCCCACAAGAGGAATCTCATAAGCTGTTTAGGAGTTTAAGCTGGGGTGAGGTTGATCCTTTTAGCAGGCACATGTTCTTATGGGAGGAATCTCATTAGGCTGCTTAGGAGTTTAAACTGTGGTGGGGTTGATTGTAAACTGTTTAGAAGTTTAAGCTGTGGTGGGGTTGATTTTTTTTTAGTAAGCACATGTTCTTATGGGAAGTTAAGTAGCATCGCCTCAGAATCCAAACTTTGGAACTTTTAGATAAAATGGCTCCTGACCTAAAATGTCAAATTTGGTTCCAGTAACAGTGATTTAACTCAGGGGTGCTTAACCACTGAGCCATATCCCCAGCCCTTTTTATTTTTTATTTTGAAACATGGTCTTACTAAGTTGCTTAGTGCCTTCACTAGTTACTGAGGCTGACTTTGAACTTGGGATCCGCCTACCTCAGCCTCCCAAGCCACTGGAATGACAGGCATGTGCCACCACATCTGGCTTCAATGTAAAATTACTAATGACATATTTTACATGCTTTTCTTTTTTTTCTCGTACAAAGATTTCAAGTGCTTTTTGTTGCCACATTTGCCTAATGGCTACCATAATGACAAGTGCAACTCTGTACTGTTTTGCAACCATTATTTTGTTGTTGTTTTTGTTGTTGTTGTTTATTGGTTGTGTTGTGTTTTGTTGGTGCTGGAGATTGAACTCAGGGGCACTTGGCCACCGAGTCACATCCCCAGCCCTATTTTGTATTTTATTTAGAGATAAGGTCTCATTCAGTTGGTTAGCGACTCACTGTTGCTGAAGCTGGCTTTGAACCTGCAATCCTCCTATCTCAGCCTCCAGAGCTGCTGGGATTACAGGCGTGCACCACCACAACCAGCTGGCTGCAACCTTTTTTTTAAACTTTTAATTCTTAATATACTATGGACATCTTTCTATGTTGGTATATGTAGATTTTACTCTTTTATTTATAACAGCCACACAGACCATGTCATCCATTATAGTACTTTGGGCTGCAAGTAACAGGAAATGCAATGCAAACAACTTTCCTCCATGACATCCATTGGCCTGTATGATCAGAAGTACAGAGGTAGCAAGGACTTCAGGAATGTTGTAACCAGGGCTTCAGCCCTGTTTCCCTATGACTTCTTTGGCTCTGTTCTCTCTTTGTGGCTTCCTCCTCCAGAAAGACCCTTGTAGGACTGAGGATATAGCTCAATGGCAGAGTGCTTGTATAGCAATCCTGAGGCCCTGGGTTTAATCCCTGGCACTGCTAAAAGAAAAACAAAACAAAATAGAAAGACCCTTCTATTTCTTTTTGAGGCCACTCCCTTTTTATGAGTGAGAGAATTATCTTTGAATCCCTCAGCAAACTTCTCCTTACATGTCAAAGGCTGAATTGGGACCTGTTTTCATTCCTGGACCCACCTCCTAATGCATCACCTTGGGGGTTGTTTCAACATATGAATTATGGGACCAAACAAACATTCAGATTATAGCATCTCCATTGAAAGGAAATGTCCTAAGGCCAGTGTAGTGCACCTCCCTGACACCTGGGTTCTCTGAGGACCCATTCAACTCCCCCATGGGTTGTTGACATCATTTCTGATTTTTTTTTCCCCCTGGTGCTGGGTATGAACCCAGGGCCTAATGCATGCTGGCAAGTGCTCTACCACTGAGCTTCACCCTCAACCTGATTGTTATTACTCACCCCATTTCTCTAATGAGAACACAATTGTTAACAGAGATTAAATAAGTTGCCCAAGGTCACAATGTTAATGAGTGACAGAGCTGGGTTTTGAACCCATGTATCCTACTAGAGCTTGGATTATCTAGAGAGCAAAGGCAGATCCTGGAGATTTCATTGCTATTCCTGTTTCTCCCTCCAGACCACACTGAGCAAGTCCTTCTTCCTGGCAACCCCTGGGGTATTATGAAGACAGTGTTGTCAGGATCTCTGATTCTTCTCACCTTGTGTCTGTTATCCAGCATGCAGTCTTGTACCCCTGCCCTTTGGAGGTGCCCCTAATGCAAAAATGCCTCATTTAACAGATTCAGACTCGCTATTGGCTCTGAAAGGCTTTCAACTTCCCACCAGCAAACTATGAGTGGATCTTCAAAGTGGAGCAGGAGGGGGATCCAGGTCAGAGGATACCTTGTCTTGTTAACCTTCCTGGCTTCATCTCTTTCTGCAGGCATTGCTGACTACAGACCCCAGGATGGAGAAACCATTGAGCTGAGGCTGGTTAGCTGGTAGTCCCTGGGCTCCCTCAACCCGGCAGCCTCACACACTCCCTTCTATCTTCCTTCCTGATATCCCTGGAATAGGCATTTGCCTGACCCTACTGCTACCTCTTGAACACTTGGAGGGATGTCCTCCAGATCACCACAGCCACCACCCCTATAAGGATCCTAAGCCATGATTCAACCCTGAAGTAGGGAGCCAAGTACCTCCTTTGGGAAGTTTGAGTAGTCCCAATCTGGTCCTGCCTGGCCCACAGGCCTTCCATAAAGGTGGGCCCATATTCTGAAGGACATACTGCACTCAGACTCCTTGGCAGAAGGAGAAGAAATCTGCAGGACATGGGCATTGTGAGTACTACTGCTCTGGGATTGGAGGCCCACAAGGAGGCCTCCAGGGCCCAGGGGCTGTGGCCCTGACGCTGACTCTTCACTCTGCTGTCAGGGTGGTGGTCCCAGAGCTGACAAGGCCTTAGCAGGGCTGTTTAATGCCCACCTTGAAATGATTAAAGTTTTGATTGAGTATGTGTTGCAGCATCTTGATGCCTTGTATTCCACAAATACAGGGGCAAGGACAGAGAAGGGGAGGTACCCTGGGGTATGGGGGGAGTTGGGCACATGGACATTTACATGGATATTGGGTAGTAAGGTTGGCAGAGAGGCTGTTTACTAAGCAACTCTTTAGGGCTGTAAATATTTTAATTTCATCTTTGCTTTACAGATAAGGAAACTAGTAGTTGAAAAGGGAAAGTGATTCACCCAAGGTCACAGACAAGGCAGTAATGCTGTGGCCTCCCACAGTGTCAGGCAGGGGATGTGGCTTAGAAGACAGACAGACATGACCTAAGCAGAATATAGTGGTGCAGGCTTGTGGTCCCAGCTACTCGAGAGACTGACGTAGAAGGATTGCTTGAGACCAAGAGTTTGAGACCAGCCTGGGCCACATAGTGAGATCCCATTTCAAATAACATGCCCTGGAATTAATTTTTTTTTTAAAAAACCCCTGATCAGCCTCCTGGCTCCTCCACTCATACATTAAAAATTAGAGATTTTGGGAGTGGGAGGTGGGCAGAGGGAGAAGAAGAGATTCACCAGATTGAACAGGGCAGAGTTGGAGGAAGAGAGGAGGAATGAGAATGGGAAAGACAGTAGAACAAATCAGCCATAACTTCCTATACTCATATATGAATATTCGACTAGTATAACTCCACATTATGACACCACAAAAATGAGATTATATATGTCAAAATACATTCTACTGTCTGTATAACTAAAAAGAACAAATTTTTAAATATTAGGGACTTCAATGATTATTCTAATTACATGGCAGAGCCTCAATTCAACTGAAGGCTAAAGTCAGAGTCTCATTGTCTCACTCCCAGCTTTTAACCACAGCACACTCAGGACACCACTTAGGCCATGGCAGTCAAGATATGGGGACCCTGTCTCAGTAAAGTGAAGCGTTGGGACTGAGGTTCTGGATCACCCTCTTATGATGCAGGATTCATGGAGGGGCACCCCATATCTCCACCAAGGTTTAGAGGAGAACCTGTCCTTCAAGGGGTGATGAATAGCACATAAGGTTCAGGCTGATGAACTTGAAGTCCCAGAAGCCACAGATTAAACATGGCTAGTCCTCTTCCTAGAGGACTGGCTTCCGATATTAAGGATCTGGACAGGCAAGGGAAGAAAGTGATTTAAAACATTCTTCTATATTGAAACAAACATTAAAATAGCAGGAAGCCAGTGAAAACCAGCCCTGTTTCTCTAAGGTGAAATGTCTTCACTCAAAATACAGAAGTGTTTATTCACTTGCCAACCCTTAATTGTGGTAGGGAGAGGACTCTGGACCTGCTCTGTGACTTTCCCCTTACAACTCTTCCCCAGAGGAGTGGTGACTAAAAGAGGTTGGTGTTTGCCTCAGGTCACACAATCTGTAAGTGGAAGAGTTGAGATCCTCATCCAAAGATTCTAGTGAATGACACTTGACAGGGCACTTTTCAGCTGCCTCTTACCCGCTGAGACATGACCTGAGAAAGCCTCAAGCCCCTCCATATGGGAAAGACTGGCTGTGGCAGGTCTCAGGGTCTATGAGCTGGGTTTGCTCCTTCCTCCAGGAGGGATTGTCTTCCTGGCTCTGAGGAGCAGGAAGATTCTGAACCCTGTTCACTGGTGCAGGGCCTAACCTTGGACCGCATGGAGGAATGCTTACCTTGCTCATTGTACAGCAGGGAAGTCCTAACATAGAACACTATTTTTGTGGGACAAGGTGCTATAGAACACTGGCAAGCACAATTTCCTTATTCCTTTGACAAAAAGTTATTCCCCTGATGGTGCAGGGTCAGGCTATGTGGTAGTTTCTGGACTCTTGGTGTCTTGACTTCTATAAGAAGATATGTATGTATCACCCCTGGCCTATCATGACTTTTATATGTAGATTGGCACACACCTGCTAAAAAGCAATAAAGCAGATGCTGTTCTCTGAAACCGTCTCCGGAGGGGTTTCTCTGTGCCCTCAAGCTCCCCACAATCAATGTTGGAGGGTCAAGCCCCCCAGCAGATCACCAAAAGGATATTTGCTAAGCAGACCCAGCCCACTGATTTGGGAGTTGCCAAGAACAGTAATGAACTTGAATATGAGGCTCAGTGCTCTCTTATCTATATTTTCCCAGCCCTTCTCTTCTTCTTCAGCTTTCTCTGAGTAGAGCTCTAGCCAGAACTCTGCCACCTTTCCAATTCAAGCCCTAAGTTCCTTCTTACTTTCTGATCATGGGTCCCACAGCCACTGGCCAGGTGTAGTTTTGCACAATCAGCAGGGACCTAGAGAAGCCAGGGTCTGAGAAGCTCTCCTCTAGGACTTGGCTTGGTCTAGACTGCATTTAGAACACCATGGCTCCAGACATTCTACTCCTAAGCCTGTTTCCCATTTCCCAGCTGTGGGATAATGCCTGGGTTTACACAGAATGTTCATGCTTATGATCACATCATAGATCATATGTGAGAAAACTGAGGCTTCAGTGGAGAGGTGATCTGTCCAGGGTCATGACCAATAAAGAGAAAAGAGAGAAGACTGTCCCATAGCCTCTGAGGCCCAGTGGCTAGAAATGGATTCTTCTTCACTTCTAGTCATCCCAGTGTCCCACTTTGCACTGCTTACTTCCCATAGCACTGCTTGGCCCCCTAACATGCAAGTCTCAGATTTGAGGGACTTGGGGAGATGTAGGCAACTTTAGGCTACTCTGGGCTTTCTGGTAGGCCCCCAAGGAATGTGAATGAGTCCCTTGCTGCTTCCATGAAGTTGGGCACCCTGATCCCTCCTTCTCCCACATGAAAATAACTTATTGAGGGCCCTGTACCTGCTTCCTTCCCTTCGTCAAAACTTCTGTGAGAGTAATCCCCTGCCTCCAGGGGTAACCAAAGAACAGATGGGATAAAGTGCTCTATTCCCTGGCAGCTGGTAGTTTTGTCTTCCTGCACTTTGGCCCTTCTGGGTTCCCAACTGGGATGGTCACTGCTGGATCATATTCACTGAACTCTGCCCTCAGCCTCCCCTACCCCTGGGGTATATACCTTCTCTACCACCAACGTTTGTCCAGATCTCACTTAATTAATCCACTTTCCTCAGAGCCACCTCTCAGGAGGCAGGGCAGGAGAGAGCTACTTTGTATGGTCTTTAGAGGCAGTGTAGACAGATTTTCACCACCTAGCATTTCCTACCAGCTCATCTCAGAAAAGATCAGGGTGTTTTTGTTGCTTTTAAAAATTATTCTTAACATTGTTTTTTTATTAAAGGGAACTTACTTAAAAATTGACAAAATCCGCAAAAGAATAAAGCCCATAGGGGGCCCAGATTCCTCTTCCTCAATAAGTAGGGTGGGGTTGTCCCCTTGTCTGGTTCAGTTTCCCTCCCACAACTCCTCCTGAAGAAACCCTAAAATGGCCCCATCTTTTGTCCTCAGCCTGGAAATCCTCTTACCTGTGCCCCTTGCTTTGAAATTTGGGCTATTCCGCAGTGATTTGCAGGCTCCAGCAGGCATCAGAATCACCAGAAGCTAGATTCCTGGAACCCCTGACAGAGAGGTCTGACAATACCCGTCTCCTGTGAGGCTGAGGTTTTTCCACGGTGTCCAATGACTGAAGGGCTTTAGAGGCACTTGCAGTCATTGGGAATTCTGACCACCAGAGGGCGGAGCGGGCCAAGTTAAGCCGTCCCCCTTTGCTGTCTTTGTTCCTCCGGTCAGGTAGCTGTCAAGGACTCGCTGGTCAGAGCAGACAGGGGTGAACCCTGTTCAGGGGCAGGAGCTTCCACAAAGGAAGGAAGCCTGACAACAAGAAAGAGGCTCATAGATGGTACTGGGCCCCTGGCTGGGCCTTGGTCCTTGTTCACCTGGACTCCAGAGCTCGGAGAGACCAGGTCCAGGCCTGGAATCTGGGTCGACCTGTCCTGTTCTGGTGCGCTCTATTTACACAACCCTAAGCTACGTAAACATCTGTCCTTCGGATGGGAAAACAGAAATCCAGACAGAGGCAGACTTATTGGTAGCTGCTCTGCCTTACAGCCCAGGGCTGTCTTGCTAGGGCTGGGGGTAGGAGGTGGACCCCAGGAAGTTCACCTACAAGTCAGCTCTGAGTGACCAGGGGACAGAACAGATGCTGCTGGCCAGGAATGGATACCGGCTGGCGGTACCCTGCTTCCGCAGCTGTGGGTAGCGGTGGTGATTCAGCTTTCCTCTGTGGCCGGAGGGGGCACCGCCCTGGGCTGGGAGAAGGGGGAGTATATTGAGAATAGGAGGGGTGAGGGAGTGTTCTTAGGGGACCTTGTGACTTAGCCCTGTTGGATGCCAAGACCCTACAAGATAATTATGGGCAGGGATAATGTAGGTCTGAGAATGGTCCTGGAATAGGGCCTGTGTGTCCCTCTTCAATATCCCACTCCTTTACGACAGCTTGGGAAGCTCCGGGGAATACCAGGTATATCCAGCACTACGTGTTGGTCTTTATGGGGGACTCTCCTTGGAGCTAGATGGAGAGGGTCCTGATGCTCACTGGTGGCGGAGCAGATAAGACCCCAACTAGGGGGACTCTAACCCACAGATGAGCAGACAGAGGTGGGAGGAGGAGGAGGAGCTGAAGCGGGCCTGCCAAGCCCATCACCGATGGATTGAGAGCCTAGGCGTGAGGGCGGGGCAAGACACACACACCCGAGCTCCAGAGGCGGGGCCTGAGCCGGGGTGATGCCGGGGGCGAGGCCCAACTTTCCGGGTGGGGCGCGTGCGGAGGAGGTGGTGGAGGAGGCGGGGCCAAGGACGCGGGGCCGCGCCCAACTGGCTGGGCGGGACTGGAGCCGGGCGGGAGGCTCTCCTGGAGCCCCAGCCGCAGCCCCAGCCGCAGCCGGCGCAGCTCCGAGTCCGAGTCGGATTCCGGAGCTGTAGCACCGGCCCTGTTGGAATCAATCCGAGATCCCCGCCTGGCACCGGTTGGAGCGCAGATTGGTGTGTCAACGCACATCCCGGGAATTATCGGAGGT